ATGAAGGAGAAAAATAAAAACATACTTCAACCAGTTAAAATATCACATGTAAAATATCACATCTACTCATTGTAGGCTAAGGACATCAGATATGATTTACACAGATGCTTAAAAATCGACAGCGATTTTGCAGATCTAATTGGCAACGGTAACTCATTCCAATGTTTCGGCCCTATTACCGCAAATGCCCGGTCACCCTTATGAAGGCGCTATCAGTAGTTCCTGATTCTCTGAGCGTAGTTTTCTGGAGGGGGTATACAAAGTTATGAGATTCGCCAGATATGGTGGGGCCTGATTATTTAGCGATTTATACACAAGCATTAGAATCTTGTACCTTATTGCACTGGAAGCCAATTTAAAGACTTTAGTGCTGGTGTGATCGACTCATGTTTCTTTATTTTCAGCAAAAGCCTCCCCGCCGCATTTTGTACCGATTGCAGTCGGGACAAAGATGCGGCGGTGATGCCACAATATAGCGAATTACAAAAGTCAAGCCTTGAAAAAATAAAAGTGTGAATGACTCTTTCAAAGTCTTTATTTGATAGGAATGGTTTAATTTTAGCGAGTCCCGGACTAGCCCGGACTACAGAATTTATTTGCTTGTCCATTTTTAGATTGTTGTCGATTAAAAATCCTAAATCTCTGACTGTCGATTTCGTGTAAGGTGTTAAAGGGCTTGAATCTAATGTAGTATCTGTGGGTTTATTTTGATGGCCAAATACAATAACCTCTGTTTTGTCTTCATTTAACATTAAAAGGTTTTTAGCCATCCAGGTTTTAAGAGCAACTCGAATGAACTGGTCGAGCTGAGTGGCAGGTACATTTGCGTGTCGTCAGCGTAAAAATGAAATGACACTCCATATTTTCTGAAAATGCTTCCCAGAGGAAGCAAGTATAGTGAGAACAGTATGGGAGAAAGGATGGACCCTTGCGGGACCCCCCACGGAAGATTTATGTATTTATGTGGAACGCAAACGTTTTGAGAGCGAACGCAAACTTCCCTGACAGCAATGTCAGGAATCCACAAGTACCAGATGTGGGCCGGATCTGGGCCGACACCAGTGTTGTGCCTGAACACATTCATATTTTGGGTGAACGTGCATGAACTGAACGTACTGTATTACTGCCTGATGATCGTTACTGTGAACTCATTCATTCTGGTGTATGAACGCACGCTTTCTCAGGTTAACTTCATACAATAGGGTGCCAGACTTCTATAGAGCCTTCCAGGCGAAAACCCGGCTAAAACACACGTAAACAGGCCTTAATATGTAGCGGAAAAACACCCAATCTGGCAACAAAAGACACCAGTGTCACACCGCGACCGCCGTCGACAAAGCAACGCGCGAGGAGGTGTCGATCATTCAAACGGATTTTATGACGAGGTCTGTGAGGATGGGAAAAATCGTACATTTCTGTGCAAACTTTGCCCGTTGATAAAATAATTGTTGTCTGTGGTTGTGGGCTGTGGCAATAATAAAAAAAGAACTATGAACTAGTTCATATTTTGAAGTATGAACTATGAACTGAACTAGTTCATTTTAAAATGTGTGAACTGAACTTTGAACTAGATCAGGTAGAAAGTGAACTTTCCCAACACTGGCCGACACTATGTTGCTGTCTGAATTTCTTGGGGGGAACGCAAAACCTTTGTGAGCGAACGCAAATTTCCCTGTCAGCAATCAATGTCAGGAATCCACAAGTACCAGATTTGGGCCGGATCTGGGCCGACACTATGTTGCTTTCTGAATTTCTTGGGTGGAGAGCAAAGGTTTGTGAACAAACACAAAGTTTGTTGGGGGAACGCAAAAGTTTTGTGAGAGAATGCAAAAGCATTGAAATATTATTATTACTTTTTTTTACCATCACCATGACCTTTTAGGGGCTCCATACAAAGGCCACATTTTAAGTCAGCAATAGTTTACACACCATCATGTTGTTTCACAAAATAACTATTTTTCATGAATCTTCAAGCCGATCTTTTCAACATTTCATAGCGACCATGTCTTTCAAGCTCCAAAAAGCAAAAAAAGATCAAAGATAAAAATAAAAAACACACGACTGATGCTGTATCCATGCCTTCTGAATCCATAATATCAATGAAAGCAATGTCAAAAGTCAATGAAATGAAACCTGACGTTGAAGTGATTTTTTGAACTGAATCTGATTGTGGAAGTAAATAAGATTTGAGAGCTTCGGCAGAGAAGATTCTACAGATAAAATATTCTCAATATAAATTGCTTCGTAAACCTAATGTGCTATTAAATAACCTTTATTTTTAGGAGCGTATGTGTACTAGGATTCACATATTGAAGAATATTGAACTTGGTATCCATTCATTTGGCTATTTTAGTCCTGCTCTGGTCATTTGTCAAAGCTCGAGACAGGATATGTGAATGAATCAGGCGTTGTTTCCCTCTTAAATCGGCCCACGTTAGGTTTAGCTACATACCCCTGCGGATACCGAGCGATCAGGAGCGCTTCGGGTCATATGTGCCGCATTGTAACTCATTTAGAGCTGCGGTGTAAACTCTGAGAAGGTTTTTGTGAGAGGATTAATGAAAGGCTTAACGAGAATGTTCCCAGCTTGGCAGTGTGTCCTCATAGGGAGGGCAGCAGCAGTCATGGGCCCACAATGGGATCAGGTCAGGACGTCTCATGCTGGGGGCCATGCTGTCCTGAGGTACTACGGTACATGAGTGATCAATCAACAAATCAGGCTTATTCCTCTGACAAGATTTACCTGAAACGTTTCAAGCACACTGTGAAACTGCTCACTGGCAGAGAATGTATTATTATATTTGACCTTTATTATGGAGCACGACAGTATACTAATTTAATTCATATAAATCGATTTTTTTAATGATAATTCTTTCAAGACAGACCGACCCGAGTGCCAAAAATTACATGCACAGTTTTCTTTATGGCTTATGAAGTTTGAGTTGGCCGTATTGAAGGGCTTGTGTCTTTTTCAACATGATTTTTGCTATTGCTAAATGGATTCAGGTGGTTTGAGAGAGCATTTTATTGGGTAAATATTTGCATACGCCCCTGAGTGCAAGATAAGTTGTCAATATTTTTGGCCTGTTTTCCTAGAAGACTGTAAATATTTAAACCGCTTTCAAGAGAACACAAGCATATATTTGACCTTGAAGATAATGAACATGGACTAAAAACTACGAAGGATTAATATCGATTTAATGGTGTCAGTAAATTATATTTTTTAAAAATTGTGTTAAAACATGCTGTGTGTGTGTGTGTATATATATATATATATATATACGTATATACTGTACTGTATGTTTATATATACAGTTTATATATATATATATATATATATATATATAGTGTTTTTATATGTTAGGGCTGTCAAACGATTAATCGCGATTAATCACATCCAAATTAATCGCATCCAGTGTGTGTATTTAAATATATAAAATAATAAAATAATTATCCCCAGTGCACCCACATATATTATTTAAACACAAACTTTTATTTTTGGATGTGATTAATATATATATATATATATATATATATATATATATTTCAAGCCTTTATTATAATTTTGATGATTATGGCTTACAGCTATGAAAACATTTTCACAATATTCTAATTTTGAATTTGGGGTTTTCATAAGCTTTAAGCCATAATCATTAAAATTATGATATAATTAAAAATAAAGGCTTGAATTATAAAATAATAAATAAACTTTTGAACGCTATTCACATTTTTTGAGTTTCACCTATATATATATATATATATATAGTCATTAACAACAGTCCTGTATTGTTAAACCAATGTATGTGGTTCAAATGACAGAGCTGAGACTATGTTATTACACACTCTAAATGCTGGGTTGTTTCACCCCAAACTTTGGGTCAAATTTGGACAAACCCATCCATAGGGTTAAATTTTTTACAATAATTACATTTTTAACCCAATGTTTGGGTTTGTCCGTATTTGGCCCAAATTGTCCGTATTTTGGCCCAAAACAACCCAGCATTTTTTAGAGTGCATATATATATATATATATATTATATATATATATATATATATATATATATATATATACACAGCCATGACAATTTTAGACCCCTCCATGATTTCTAAGTGGGAGAACTTGCAAACTGTATATAAACGGTGTGTGTATATATATATATATATATATAGTGTGTGTGTCTGTATATAAACATACATCAAAGGCTAAATCACTGAGTTTTATTTTTATTTTATAGATTTTCAAATCCACATTTATTATATAGTGATTCATCTCAAAGCTGGTTGGTTTGGTTAATCCTCAGAAGTGTTTTATGAACAATTTCTTTGAAATGCCCATGGAAAAAACCGAGGCCACAGAACAAGTGGGCACTCAGTCAGCCTTTACGTATAGCTCTATATCAATATATGTTGTAAAAAGAAACAGTATCTTTTCAATGCTATATAAAGCATTCTTGACGCAATCTACAAAAACACAGATAAAGTATATGACGTTCGCTATCGCATGTATCCGGTCCAGGAGTCCAGTTGTAATCTGGACCCCTGTGGTTATAATCACCCCAGACTAAAGATACACTATCAATATAAAATGATAAGAGCATTATTAAAGTTAGTTAAATGGATTTACAACTAATACCATTGCAATCTGTCCATCTCCGATTCTCAAACGGCATCTGCTGATTGCCCGTTTAAACCAGTTTATAAGACCACCAACTGATATCGCTGTAACCACAAGTCATGCCAGGGAAACAAGAATGAATGTTAAAAAAATATTTATTGACAATTGTGTAAAAAAATAGCTTTCTAAACATAATTTACATTGCTAAACCAAACAAAAACAAAATCCAAGTTGCAATCGTGCCAACTAAAGGTGAAAATCACTCGCTCCTCAAACATTCATGAGGTCATTTTCACTAACATACGCACAGCAGACAGTTTAAATTAGGTGACAAACGTGACTTCAGACTGGTCTGGTTTACCATCAGCAGCTCTCCATGCATCGAGAAACGGAAGTGCTTTCGAGGACTATTTACAAAATATGTACACATATCGTTCTCCAAAAAGGCTTTAAATATGGTAAAAATACATTTAAATAATTTGTGGGCCCTTCGGTGGTGGAATGAGAAAAACTTTGCAGAAATTCGCTCTTCTATAAATAAATAAATAAATACTTCCACTTCGATCTCGTTCTTTTCTTTTCGTTAAAGTTTAAGACACTCCAATAAATAGAATTTACACATAAGCCTTGTCATGGAATTGAGTCATCTGACCAAGATATTTACAATATAAACAAAAATAATGTAGTCTTTCACGTTGTAGTTGCATTGCTTCGTGCATCTGTGACAACGAGTGGTAGTAGTTGAGACTGAGTTACTCAGCACAGAGGAAGAGGAAAAAGAAACAGCGGCCTGAAAGAGTGAGGTAAGACTTTTTCATTCTGCAGAGGTTTTGTGAGGTCGATTTGGTTACTCTTTCTGACGCATTAGAGTAAGACCGACAGTTCCCTGCCAGAAGCAGGTAAAGTGGAAGCAAGAAGGTAAAAAAAGACATCTGGTTAAGGAGTAGAGTGTTACAGTGGCTATTACTCAATTCAAGTATTTCCACAAAAAAAAAAAAAAACGAAAAACAAACAAACCCTTGATCTTGCACAGAAGGCACTAAAATTATTAAGCTCGGCTGATCTGCTTCCTAAAGGGACAGCGGCCGTCGTAGCAGATCGACTAGCCGTCATCACAGCGCGACTTCTCTCCGCCGCTTCGGGCGTTCCCTAGCTCCTCCCTACACTGGCTGCGAAGAGCTTCTCGATCTACCCGTGCCCCACAGCAGTGTCGACAGTCATTTGGTTCCTACGAGCCAGACTTTCGGGACCCTGAGCCGAAGGGGAGCAGGAGACAAGAGATCACAGATCTCACTAGAAAGTGGACCTCTCCCTTTTTTTTTGGCCTAGCCTAGAACTCCCACCTAGCAGCAATGCTCAAAACAAAAGAATAACATGTTTTTTATTTGCACTGCTCAGTCCACAGGTCCCCCGGGGGGGTTGCTGCTGTAATGGAAAGTCTCTATGTATGCATTCAGATAGAGTCATTTGCACACAGTGGCTGCTGGGTACGCAGCAGGCTGATGCTCGTGGCTGATGCTGTGAAGCCTGATCTCAGTGTTGTCTGTAGGGGGCGCTGTGTTCTGCATCCAAGGGTGGTTGATGATGTCCTCGAAAGACGGGCGTTCTGCAGGGCGGAGGGCCAAGCAACACTTGATAAGCTGCTGACACTCTGTAAAAAAAAAAAAAACAGGATGTGTGATTACGGCACGGTAATAAACCCATAAAACTCCTCGAAGGGGGCGCCATACGATCAGCAGGTCTTACCTGTGGAGATTCTCCGCCTGAACAGCACCTGTCCACGTACGATCTCTTCGTCCTGCTCGAACGGGATGTCACCACAGACCATGTCGTAGAGCAGAATGCCTAAAGACCACACGGTGGCGGATCTACCGTGGTAGCGGTGAAATTTGATCCACTCTGGTGGACTGTAAACACGTGTACCTGAAAACAGAACAAAAAAACAGAATACATTTAAATCCATAGTTCTACAACATTTAAACACACATGCATAACCAGAGAAAACCAGGCACTAAACAAAACAGTGTAGTAAAAAGGTGCGTCAGGAAAAGGTGTGTAGTGTTTGAACGTTATTGCTATGGCACAACATTAATGTGCACAGTCATGTGCTGCAGGAGCGTGACACAAGGCGCGCTCATGTTGAGAAACCGGTTGCCATGTGACTTGTGTTTACAAACTTTGAGTTGTAATAATTGCAATTCCCACCGGTGGGGGCGCCAAAACCACAACCCTGCGTATTGCTTTTTTTTTTCAAAGGGGCATTATACAAAAATAAACAAATCATCACGCTCGACGATTCATTTAGCTTAAGGTCGAAGAAAGGGGATCATAACATACATTTATCAACGAAAAATTGCCAAATTGGTTTCATACATGTTTAAAAACGTCAAATATTGCCTCCATCTACTGCATAAACACACACCCTTTCTAGAGCTTGACATGGTTCCCACATCCCTCTAAAAACATCAAAATTTCCATGTTTAAATATATTCTAAGTAAACTAAAAACACATATACATTTCTAGACTAATCCATGTTATAATTATATACATTTTGAACCCACAAACGCATTTTAAGCCAATTTTAAAATCTTTCGATTTTTTTTATTATATAAACATTTATATTCAAAACAGTAACGTTCACGAGGCGAGACAAGAACGTATATTAAATTCCCTGATCGCGCCACATTTTCCGTGACCGTGGGAACCCTGGCTTGAAGGTCATGCAAATGGCTCTTACCGTCGAAATCGGTGTAAACGGTGTCTTTGAGTAATGCCCCTGATCCGAAGTCGATGAGCTTCAGATCGCCGGTTCGCAGATCGATGAGGATGTTCTCGTCTTTAATGTCACGGTGAACTACGCCACTGTTGTGGCAATGACGCACCGCTTCCAGAACCTGGCGGAAAAAGTTCCTGGCCAGCTCCTCCGGTAACGCGCCCTTCTCCGTGATGAAGTCAAACAGGTCCTTGACGGCCTCCGGTCTTTCCATGACGATAATGAAGCTGTCCGATCTCTCGTACCAGTCCAACATCTTGATCACGCCACGGAATCCAGTGGCGACCTTCTTCAACAGGACGATCTCCATAGGGACGCGCGCGCCATTGGGCTGGAAAAGGAGGACATGATCGTTTTAGCGACGCTGTCATGTCGCATTTAAAAACATTTGCTATACAAATAGTATGTAAACAACCCTATGTAATTGAATACTCACCAACTCTCCCCATTCAGTCACACGATCTTTTGCAACATGCTTGATGGCAACCTGGAAATGATAAGAAATGCATCATTAAACAGTGCGATGAAGATATTACACGCACATTTTAAACGTTCACGCGGATGTAAACAATAATAAGGGAACTCGGGGAACCTACCGGCGCGCCATCAGCGATCCTTAAACCCGCGTACACCGTCCCGAAACCACCGCTTCCCAGCACAGAGCCGACCTGGTACACCTTATCGAATGGGTCTTTCTCCTTAACTGTCGATAAAAGATATGATAGATTCATAAGAATGGATAAAAGTCGTATAATTATATAATAATTCACAAGCTGACGCACGCTCTATTCCCAGCACTCAGTCTGCTGACGTGCACGAGCCCAAGACCACAACACGCACACAGGCGAGCACGAGAATAACCGTCCACTAACCTTGAAGCTGGATTTTCGCCGGCATGTCCACGGTTGAAATGTGAGCAAACGTGTTGAATTTCGATAGAAGCATTTTATAATCCAAAATGAGAGTTCTTTTTGAGGGTTATTCCAATGTTGATGTCGAAATCCGTCGTGTGGAGATGGATGTAGGGAAGGTCTACGACGTGAAGGATCCGGTGTGTAAACCTGTAGAAATCCCTTCTCATCGAGGCTCGATGCGGTTTTGATTCGCAAGACGACCTTTTAAACGATCGCACAAGCTTTACTCCAGTTTGGAATATAAAATAAACAAACGATTAATATTACGAAGATAAATATTATTGTCTGAGGTGCGCGACAGACATAAATACCCGGCTTTCTAAATCGTGAAGGAGGGGCAAGAGCCGTTATATACCAGTAGTAAAAGGGAGGGGTTGCTCCAAGGACGTCAACAGTAGTCCCGCCCACAAACACGATTCAGCCAATGAGCAATACCGCCTGCCTCTGCAGAAAAGGTCAATCAAATATGAAAACAGAGGAAAACGTAGACGTGGCGGGAATCAAAACGCGCCAAATAGTCGAGGCTTTTTTTGAGGGCGTTGAGCCGGCGTGGGGCAGACAGGGAGGAATGATTCACATGGCCGAGTGTGTATAACAAAGCCCCCTTTGCAAATTCGAAACAGTATTCAAATAGGTATGAAGAGTTTTAATAAAATCATACATACAATCTTTTAAAAGGTTATGGAGCTTTAGTACATTTAACTTCAGTTAAAAAGTCAATGTGCAACAAAGTTTTCCCTGCATGAAAGGAACGCAATAATTTCACATGGTCTGAGATGAAAAGACAACATTTAGTAAAAAAAAAAGAAAGTGTTAATGCAACCCATGTTTTCCATCTTCACGTGAAACATGCATCATCCCCCTAGGCAACTCTTTGTGTTTGTTTCAGTCATGTGAAGTAGGTCTATGAAGACCGCATGCTCTATATTACCTCATTAATCTCAAATTAGCGCGCAAAGTTTTTTTTTCTCCTACAGGCTTTATTTAGATGGAGAACAATGCCGGTCGCTATATGGAAATGAGCCGCATACCAGGCATTCTTTCAAATTGGGTGGCCGGTTTTAAACTCGGCGGCAGGATGTGGGAAACTTGAGATAAAAGACTTGGAGACCCATCCCCCCACTCTTATCCTCTCTTTCCCGCGCAGATTATGGTTTGAATGGCACTTGCTCTCCCTGTCTTCTGTATTGTCCCTGCCCTTAGGTTATACGCATAAACATACAAAAAACAACTGATGTAATCGTTTTTTTTCCTCTTCTACAACTGGTCACTTCAAGTTCTTTATGTAATGTATACGTATAGTAAAGGCCAAGTGTAAGTGCCCTCAATGACCCTGAGACGGAGAGTAATCTGATCACTCAAATGCATAAGACGAGCAAGTGTAAATGCATCTGGTTGTTCAGGCCACATATGTAAACTTTACTCCTCCCAAACAAAACAGCATCAGTATACAGAAGATTGGGAGCCGTGAAAATGACACGTGGATGAGGCACATGGATGGAGAAATAAAAAATATAAAAACATTGCCACATTGGCCATAGAAGGCGTTTAACAGAGAATTTTGCTCCTCGGCATTAGCATCATCAAGGAAGTGCAACTCTGTTATATTTGCATAGTGTGGGAAGATTGTATTTATATCCGTTCGACAGAGACACATTTTGTGGCCAAGTGTAAATTTAATGTAGAATTGATCAATGAAGTGTAGCCTCAAATAGCCTCTATATTCCAACACATAAGATGAATGTCCTTGCATTAGACAACAAAATATCAACATAGCACCATTGTTTAAAATGTATATTACACACTACACAAACGTTTGAAATAAGTTTTTTTTTTAAGTTTTGGAAAGAAGCGTCTTGTGCTTGTAAGAGCTGCATTTATTTGATCGAAATACAGTAAAAACAGTATTATTGTTTTATTATCAAATATTATTTGTGCGATATTTGAAATGGTTTTTGTGTTGTTTTTTTTGTGTTCGAAAGAATATAATTTATTTGAAATAGAAATCTTTTGTAACATTCTAAATGTTGATAAATGTAATGTATCCTTGCTGAATAAAAGTATTTATTTATGTATTTATCATGCATGTGACACTGGAAACTGATGCTGCACCTAAAATGTACATATTACCACCTAAAATTGACATATTAGCTCATGAAATGGACATATTACCACCTAAAATGTACATATTAACACATAAAATGTACATATTAGCACCTAAAATTGACATTTAAGCTCATGAAATGGACATATTAGCTACCAAAAATGTACATATCAGCACCTAAAATGTACATATTAGCTCCTGAAATGAACATATTAGCACCTAAAATGTACATATTAACACCTAAAATTGACATTAGCACCAAAAATGTACATATTGGCACCTAAAATGTACATATTAACACCTAAAATTGACATATTAGCAACCAAAAATGTACATATCAGCACCTAAAATGTACATATTAGCTCATGAAATGAACATATTAGCACCTAAATTGTACATATTCGCTCCTGAAATGGACATATTAGTACCTAAAGGTACATATTAGCACCTAAAATTATCACCTGTACTGTATTTTTGTTTAAATAAATGCAGCCTCAGATGAGATGGATCAGTATTATATTTAAATGACCAATTGCTTTTAGTTTTAAAATAGCTCTATTCCATAAAACGTCACAAGTTTTTCCTTCCGTTACCATTGTAACAAGCTTGTGCTTCTCAAAAAAGCCAGTGAGTCATAGATTTTCAAATTAATGTGTGTGATTCATAGTGTGGTGTTTCTTTCTTTTCTTTACTCAGAATCCTGTTTTTGAGCAGTTCAATCACAATGCTGGCGCACAGTTTGATGACTCAGAGATCTTAGCTCTCTTCTAGATAAAAGATATGGTCGAGCCCCCTGAGCCGAAACGAAGAATACTCAGAATACTCAGAAATGCCTTGCTTCAGGAAGCAAAAGCCATAGAAATAAAATCGAATGCATAAATAAACAGAACGTCAAGGAACGACAGATAACCAAACGGCGTTTGATTGCTATCATTCAGGCAGCTGTCTGCATGTTCAAGTTCAGCACAGGTATAAATTAGGGTGCTTTATGCATAGTGCTCTTTCTTCTTGTTCATCTTTCAATGCACCGCCGCCCCCCCAGCGAGACTCGCTCAGGCTGATATAATAGAGCTGGTTTAACGCTATAATGAGTCACCTTCTCTGTGCACCTCAGCGCTGATTATGGGCCGCGCAGGTGAGAGCGAGAGGCGATCTGAAATGGAGACGCAGTGGGGGTCTATGTAATATAAAGCTGCGTGAAGGAATGACAGCACTGACGTCTGTGGTTGCCGGCTCAGCAGAGGAGAGAGTGACAGCCGCCCGCTGCCCCGACTCATCTGACACCAACAGCGCTCGCTCTTTTATTAGCACACCGTGATAAAGACGACTCAAGTGCTGGGTTTGAAACTTCAAACCTCATTCCTCTTGTATCTTTAAGTGTGCAAATCCCTAGCTCCACCTCTTGAGATCCTGATTGGAGGGAGGGGAACCATGAGTGCGCTTCAAAGCCTGTGAGAGAGGCTACTGAAGAGCAGGGGTTTAGGTCAACTTTCATGTCAGTTAAAACATGAGGTCAGAGGTCACCGACATACCTGTTCGGCATTCCACGGCCCCCCTTCAAGGAAGGACCCTCACTTGTCTCAATTTGGGTGGGCTCCTGAAAGCAGAGCTCACAGCACATCCCAGGATAGATCGCTTAAATGAGATGCTTTTGCTTCTGAAATGTTTGGTCAGTTTGTTTGGTCTGGGTTTGATCCTATGTGCAAACAACATCAGCCAACAGCAGAAGATAACGGATATGAGTCATTTAATATGAAAATAAACAAGCTGAATCATTGGAAGGCTTTGAATACATGCAGCGGTCTTCTCCATATAAGAAAAATGACAAATAAATCACTTTAATAATTGTTAAAGTTCTAGGCAGCAAAGGGACTAAATTGAACATTTTGATCAAGTCTCCTGCTGTCTTTTTATTGGGAACGCAATGCTGAGGTTTGCCCAAACACCCAAGTCACATGAACAATTTACACAACAGTTTAAAAGTTTGGGCTTGGTAAGATTTGTTGAATTTTTTTTTTGAATAAATTATTATAATAATAATAGGACATAAACTGAAATATTCTAAAGTCACATTAAAGATATTTATAATGCTACAAAAGATACCTCTTTTAAATATATTGTTCTTTTGAACTTTCCATTAATTAAAGAGCCATGATAATAATAATAACAGTATTTTTTAGCACCAAGTGCAGCATATTACAAAAATATTTGTATATATATACATATACAAATATATATATATATTTAAATGAATTATTTTCATTTTTGAAATAAACATTTAAATTGAAATTGCAATTTGTTTAAGAATTGGAGAGTTTTTTAAGGATCAAATAAATGCAGTCTTGGTTAAAGGAGTAGTTCACTTTAAACAATGTCATTCTTTCTTCAGTCGAAAAGAAAAGGTTTTTGAAGAAAACATTCCATCAAAACGAACAAATCTTTTTCTGAGTCAATTTGTTAATTTCGTACGTTGAATGAACCAAATGACTCGAAAAAAGATTTGTTCATTTTGATGAACCAGTTTGAACAGGAGAGTCACGAACGCGCATCACAGAACAGAGCAAGGCGACCATTTGTGCTTAAAACTTAAACTTTGTTATTTTATTTTATTTTTTTAAATGACGTATGAAGCTGCACACTGAAACTCTCATTTGGATCTTGAACCGTTTGGTTCCCATTGAAGTCCATTATATGGAGAAAATCCTGGAATGTTTTCATCAAAAACCTTAATTTCTTTTCAACTGAAGAAAGAAAGACAGGACATCTTAGATGACATGGGGGTGAGTAAATTATCAGCAAATTAAAAAAAAATTGAACTACCCCTTTAAGCATAAGAGACTTGTTTCAAGAACATCAACATTTTTTACTGACTTTTAATGTATTACTCCTGTATGTCAACTATTCATATTTTGTCTATTTTAAATATTTTTACAAAAAAAAATGTCCCTTTCTGCTAACTGTCAGTCAAACTGATAGTCCCACCCCCCAACTCTTGCCATTGGTTGAGTCAATGTTGCTGTATTGGGCTGGTCAAAAACAAACAGACTAATGTTTTGATAGTGCCACATGGCACAATGTTTACACTTTTCAGGGATAGTCCACCTGCAAATGGCTTATATTGAAAGTATTTTGACAAACACATGACTTAAATCACCTCTGTTATGTCTCCATATCTGTGAAAGTGCAACAAAATTAAAAAATGTGCACAACAAAACACATGAAATAGTTGTTATCAAGGTCAGGAATGTCACACTGCTTTGTGTCCCTGATAGTGTCCTATCAGTTAGCACTGGAAAACTGGCCTCCCTCCCCGTTTCAGCAGATCAGGTGATAGCCCCTCACTACCGTAACGCTTTTAGAGGTCGCAGAGCGGCAAATTATCTTCTGCAATGCGATTCACTTTGGGACGGCCAGGAATTTG